TTTGATGGCTGCATAATATTCCATTGTATATATATACCACATCTTCTTTATCCAGTCATCTGTCGATGGACATCTTGGCTCTTTCCACAGTTTCTTTAAATTTATTTTTATTTTGTTTTATTGTGATAAGAACATTTAAGATGAGATCTACTTTCTGAACACACTTGTTGACTTACATACAATCTATAGCAGAACTCTAGAATTTATTCATTTCGCTTCACCAGAACTTTATGCCCATCAATTAGTAATACATTTCCGCCCTGCAACCCGCCCCCCTCCCCCCCGCACTGGCAACTGATTTCACACTTAGGTTCACTTGATTGAAGTGATGATTAGTAAACAGAATACTATTTATTTTGTACTTATCATATGTAACGCTTTTTTTTTATGGGAAAGGGAAAGGAAGGCAAGAGGAAAGGTTTCTGAAGCGAGAGACGATGTCTCTACTTCCCCCTTTCTATTCCACGTGGAACAGCATTTCCTTGGCCCAGCTCAGATCTTTGGCTAGGAGTGAGCTCTGGAGGTGGAGGAGGTGGGGCTGACCATTTCTGTTTCCCGAGTTCAGCACAGCTCCTCAGGCTTCCTCGTCAGAAAAGAAGGCATGGGTGACTTTGCACTTTACCTCTGCCTAAGTATAGCAAGTAGCAGATTTATTTTCTTGCTCATCAATCTCGCTTTTAATGGCAACAACTTGATCTTCCAATTGTTTCAGTTGGTCAGCTTTTTCTTGTCTACTCAGATTCAGATCTTGTATCTTCTTTTCTAAATCTGAAACAAGAAAATGAAGAAAAGGATAGATTTGGTTTTGGTGGATTCTTCCTGGATACCCACCTTATATGAAACACAGGGATTTCTGTGCCTCTTAAAGACATATTTAGCTTTGTGTTTTGATTCAACAGACAAAACATTCATTGTCACCAGGCTCCTCAAGGTTTTCACACAAACCAGAGCAGACAAACTGATGTTTTTGTCTAAAAAATATTATATATCTAGTGGCATTTATCAATGCCAGTTGAAAGCTAGTTAGAGTTTGTTAGAAATGAAAAGATGGATGATGAGCCTTGATTGGACTTGGTGAATATTTCCACAGGTTTGCTCTTGCTGTTTTAACTTCACTTTTTAACATGTGTTCATCACTTTAGGGGTCCTCAGTCTTTCAGTAAAAAAAACACTGACATTTTCATTTCTTCATTCTGCTCTGCTGATATTCAAGCCCCTGAACAGGAAAAGCAAAGTGATGCCTTTCACTCTTACCCATCCATCCTTCCTTCCTTCCGTCCTTCCTTCCAACCATCCATGCATCCATCCATTTATCCATACTTCATTCAAAAAATACCTGGGAATTATAGTAAACCCCAGCAAGGAGCCCATAGAGTAGTGGATAGAAGAGGTAGAGAGGGCCACAGTTAACAGTGTGAAGTGGCCTTTAGAAAAAGAAACTGCCCTTAGGTTGAAGCGGAACTTCTTAAAGAAGGAAGGTAAATGTCCCACTTCACCTGGACAGGTCACACCTGGATCATCAGGAGGGAGTTGTCAAACCAGCCTGGAGCGTATGTTTAGAGGAAGGAATCGGATTGCTGAAGAAATATGAAACTATCCAGTGAACAAAAGATGAATTAACTGATGATGTTTTATATAGAGAAAGAAGAAGATTCAGGGCATGTCCTGTAGTTATTTTCAAGTGCCTATGAAAGCAGAGGAAATGTGTTTTGTCATCCTGAGGAAATAGACTAAAACCAGCAGGTGAAACCTCCATGAAGGAAGACTTTGTCTGATTATAAAGAACTTTCTAGCAGTCACAGCTGTTCAAAGAAAGAGCTGCTATGGGAGGTGGTGAGCATTCCGTCTCTGGAAACTTAAATATAGATCATTTGGGACTGAAAAGGAGACTCAGCACTGGAAGTGTATTTGTACTAACAAGAAAAAAGACCCCTGCGCTTCTTCCTTAGCAGTTAATGAGGCTGTGCTGGTCCCTCTTCGTTTGCCTGCCCACATCCATCCTCCGTCCTGCTCTGTCCTGGAAAACCAGCCTCAGTGGATGACATCATCTGGCTCCCAGGATCTCTGGAGCTCGTTCACACTTGGCCACTGCACAGTTCAGAGAAGTGACCAGGGGCGGGGGCGGGGTGGGGAGAGTGAACAGGCTGTCCCTGTGGAGCCGAAGGGTTCTGGCAGTTCTTACATCTCTCCCCTCAGCCTGCAAGGTGGCCTCTTGCCTTTGGCTCCAGCATTCCGAGAGTGCCCTCAGAGCACCCGCCCTCCCGCGGCCCCTGCTCCTTAGGGCCCAGGGATGCTGATGGCTTCTCACCGCGGCCAGTCACGCAATACGTCCACACCCTCAGCGGGCTCTCAGAACTCCTGTGCATTTTTAAGAGTTCCTCGCATCAAGAAGCAGAGGCTATTTGCCCTCTCCCCTCAAACCAGGTCCAGCTGGGCCTGTTGTGTTGACCAACAGAAAGTAAGAGAAATCAGTGCGCAGGACCTCAAGGGCCTTACTCCACTCATTGCAGGGAACCGAGACGCAGGCGAGCTGTAAAGCAGCCTGGGCTGGAAGAGCCCGTAGAAAGAGGGCCAGCATCTCAGTCAAGCCCGGCTCCAGGCGCACCAGCCAGTTGACCCATCAGCTGGGAGCGGCACAGACCTGCAGAAGAACCACCCAGGCAACCCACAGAAAAATCATGCATGGTTGTTGTTCTAACCCCCAAATATGGGGAGTGCTTTGTTGCGCAATGAATAGATAACCGAGCCAACTCTAGCTGTAACTATGTGATCCAGAATTATCTCCAAGCGTGCTGCCTGGTTCTCGCTGGGACCCTGACTGGTACAAAGTTCTGTGGAGGGACCCTCGCTGCAGACTGGGGACATTTCTCCACTCTCTCCACTTTGACCCTGCCAAGGTAAGGAAGGGCTCCTTTCTGGAGTCCCCTGGGCACTTCTTCCTACCAGGTAGAACTAGAGCGCAGCCCTTGTGGGTCAGACCCTTCTGAAGCGGCAGAGTCAGGAAGGTGGCCAAGCCAATATCTTATTTTCCTACCTTGCTGAACTATGAAAACGGCTTTAAAAAGAGAGCCAAAAAAGTGGAGAGCATGATTTTAGACCTCGCTTAGAAGGAAGGCCTCTAACTTCTCTTCTGACCTAATTTCAAAAACTGTGGAAGTTCTAGTCTATGGGAATAAGTGGAAACAATTTGGGCCTTGACATAAAACACAAGACAGAAAATATTCTCCCCATGTTTCTGCTCCTATAGTTACAGCAACTGATTTTCACCATAATTACCTATGGAGAGTAAACAAACAAACAAACAACATTCTGTCTTTTTGAATCTTTCCTAGTAATTCCTTTTTAAAAGTATTAGGAAAATACTTAAAATGACAGTAATGTAAATTATATGTATGTAAATGTAAAGGATGTAAATTATACAATTATATAAATGCAAAAAGCAGTGTTTTCCTCTTCACTCTCCCCCTCCCCAGAGATAAAGAATATTAACAGTTTGGTATGTATTTTTCCTGACTTTGGCCCACACCAATGTTGCATTTTCATTTTTTTTCATGTCATAGTGGTGATATGAATGGTTCTAAGGCAAAGACTCATTTTATAACAAAGAAGCATTATAAATGAGGAGGCTTGGTTGTTTTAATACCTTGAGAATTACTTATATTCCAAATGAATATGACTAACTTTAAAGTTTTGGAGACAATAAATGCAACCAAAAGTAGAACTAGACCATTCATCATTGGATATTTCTTGATGATTTAGAGGTAGTTGCTAAGGGCATGATGACTACCCAGAAAAATCATGAGCACCCGTTGTGGGGAAAAAAGATTCTAATTAACTTTCTGATTGTGTGTATTCCACGTTTACTACACTTGGTGTGCATCAAAATTTCCACTTTTGATCAAAATGCTGATCCAGACTACGGATCCTTCTGGAATGCTACCTACAGATCTATACAAGATGACGAGTGCCTTAGAGTCTAGATCATAGTGACTCCAAAACAGTTATCTGCTCGGGAGGAGAAAATAAGCAGCATAGGTTAGGATGGGGTTTCTCAAATTTCTCAACATCCACACCCTTAGTGCCCTGGGCAAAACAACTGTTCATCATGGGACTGTCCTGTGTATTATAGAATGTTTACTAGCGTCCCTGGCCCCCATCCACTCGATGCTAGTTGTACCCCCTAGTTGTGACAAGCCGAAATGTCTTCAGACACTTTTGTCCCCAGGGAAGGAGATAAAATCACCCCTGGTTGAGAACCAGGGGGTTAGGAAAAGGGCTTTTCCAGTTGACTGAAGGCAATGGGAGTTTGTTCTGATGAAGGCAGAGTGGAGACTCCCTGATACCCTTTGAAGTAAAACCATGCAAGTGGCTTGTTATATTGCAGTCCCAAAGGCACTGACCCAATTCCTACTTCTTCGACTCCATGGGCTCATAGGTAGCTGAACTGTGCCAGTGATAAGTTGGTATAAATACTACCAGGAAGGTGAAGTATTAAGCTATTGTCAAATTGGTGGAGTGTGTAATAGAATCGATAGAACTCCCATATGATCCAGCAATCCCCACTCTGGGTATATATCTGAAGGAAATGAAATCCATATCTCGAAGAAATATCTGTGTTCTATGTTCATTACAGCATTCACAATAAACAAGATATGGAAATAACCTGAGTGCCCATCAATGGATAAAGAAAATGTGTGTGTGGGGGGGTGTATAAAATTCAACCATAAAAAAAGAAGGAAATCGGGGCGCCTGGGTGGCTCAGTTGGTTAAGCGACTGCCTTCGGCTCAGGTCATGATCCTGGAGTCCCGGGATCGAGTCCCGCATCGGGCTCCCTGCTCGGCAGGGAGTCTGCTTCTCCCTCTGACCCTCCCCCCTCTCATGCTCTCTCTATCTCATTGTCTCTCTCAAATAAATAAATAAAATCTTTAAAAAAAAAAAAAGAAGGAAATCCTGCCATTTGCAACAACATAGGTGAACCTGGAGGATGTTACGCTAAGTGAAAATAAGCCAGAGAAAGACAAATACAATATGATCTCACTTGTATATGGAATCTAAAAAAAAAAAAAAAGAAACAAAAAAAACCAAACCTAGAACTCATAGAAGCAGAGAGAAGAACGGTGGCTGCCAGGGTCCAGCAGGTGGGGGAAATGGGGAGAGGTTGAGCAAAGGTACAGACTTCCAGTTTTAAGAAGAAAAGTTTCTGGGGATTGAATGCTCAGTGTGGGCTGACTAGTTAACAATGTTGTATTGCATTGTGTATGTGAGTCGATCTTAAGCATTCTCACCATAAAAAGAAAACAGTAACTATGTGAGCAGATGGATGTGTTGATTAACTTAATCATGGTAATCATAACACAACGTATATTGTCACGTTGTACACTTTAAATATATACAATTTCACCTGTCACCTAGACCTCGATAAAGCTGGAAGAAAAGAAGTGATACCTGCTATTCTTCTTATCTTGTCCTCTGTATCTATGGCCAGTTTTTCTGCCACATCTTTTAGCTGCTCCACTTTTTCTAATGTCACCTTTGTCGGTCCTGTACCGCTGGTCTTATGTTGAAGAACAGCATATTGGTTTTTCAGCTCTGCAAACGCCTGTAACAGAGCAACACCTTCCCATCACCAGAAAATATTTACAAAGCATGTACCCATGCATGATATTTGCCTGATACTGTTCATAAAAGGAGGAAGAGGAAAACCATGATCCAGTCAATATGCTTGAGTCACCCTGATATTTCCAGGCTTTTATTTGCATTTTTTTTCTTTGCAGGCTGAAAAAATTCTCAGCTTTAGTTAATTAAAAATAAAATTGCTTTGTTATAAAGTAGCAATCATGATTCTGTGCGAAGGCAGTTATTTATGGGGCACCAATCGTTTGTCCTAAAAGACTTAAGGTGAGAGATACAGAGGACAGGAGGGACACGATCCTGCCTGTGACAAACCTCTGGGTCAGCTGGGTGGGTCAGCGGCCAGTGCAGGGTGAAGGGCAGAGGGAGCCGTGAAGCTTTAGAAACAAGGATGCGTTCTTTGGCGGGCAAGAAGGTAAGAGAGCCGTGAGGCAGGAAGGGAAGTACACGTGTTAGCATGAAGAGCTCCCTCGGCATTCGAATGGAAACCTGGGGGGTCAGCCTGGGTGGCTGACAGTCTAGAATGTGGAACAGCTAGGTGAAGCCCAGGAAGGGAAATGGGGATAGGATGGACCAGAAGTACCTCTCCCAACCTCCCTTCCATAGAAAATGTGCTCAACTCCCAAGTCTGTGGGAAATTACCCAGCTATCAGGAATGAAAAGCAAGAGAATGGACCAATTGTAAAAACACTTCCACATTTTTCTTGTGTTTAAGTGACTCTATTAATGCAACCAACCAGAGATACCCTGCTGAGAAAATGAGTTGATAGTTTCTTTCACCAACCTAGATGAATAGGGTATTTTCCACAACTGTTTAATTAACTCACTCTGACTTTTTTAACTTGACCTATTCTCTTTGGCAGGTGACTTTCACTTCTTTGTTTTCATGATAGGTTATGTGATTGTATTAGAGTAAAGGGTAAATACACCCAAGATAGACCAATGGCACAAAGTGTGAACGTTTGGAAGAAAGGAAACATTTGACGAGGACACCGCTAGTAGTCCTAGGAGGAGGAGATTCGGGGAGGAAACGCCCCATCCTAATTTGGTCAAAGGACTTCTGTCTTCCCTGGAGACAGTCCTCCACTACAGAAGAGGCTTCATGCCTGTCGGGATCACGACTACCACATGCCACTGAGCACGGTCCAGCACTAAGGGAACCGCTGATAAACGGCACAAGTAGCTGAGGTTAGAGGATTATCCTTCAAAGAGGCTCTGTCTGTCTGCTCTTGGTGGCACTGGTGGGGCTAATGACCTGCTCAAGGCCCCCAGCCTGGCGTTGGGCCAATGTGGCCTGAGCTGTCACACGGGTGGCTTGCTCTCGATTCCTTTGCAACTTGGTCTGCAACCGGGAAAGCCCGTCCTCCAGCACTGACCGCTGCTTTGCTAAGTCCAGCTCATTCTTAGTGTCCTTGGCTTCATTTTCAGCCTGTTGTTGATTTAAAGAGCAGAGAGGAGAAGGTCTTTTTATGTAAAAACAACAAGAAAACAAATGATATAAGTACCCCTCAGAAAATAAGCTAGGTGGGAAGGGAAAGTGAATCATTCCTTCCATTTTTTCGGTTCCATTGAAAACAACGTTGTAATAAATATTTCAGACATCCACATGGTTATAAAAGCAACTATGACATGTATCCATGCGCTCAGCGGCCAGTTTAAGAATAAAGCACCTCAGCTAAGGCTCTCCTCACACCCCCTCCCTCCCCATAAAGGTAACCACTATCCTGAATCTAGTATTTGTCATTCCACATACTTCTACCCGCTTTTTCCTATATCCTATGTGGTCTAACATATGCAGTATTTTTTTTAACTTTATACAAATATATGCTACTTGAATTTTAATTCAAAATTATGCTTGTACAGTTCTTCCTGACGAATTTGCATAGCTCTTGTTTATTCCGTTTTAGCAACTTAAAGCATTGCATTGTTTGAACATACAATTTATATTTTTATTCTCCAGCTGATGCAGGTGGCTTCTCATTTTTCCTCCTTACAAACAATAAGGAACATCTTAATATTTGTTTCTTATTTCTGTGGCTCCATTTGTCCCATCTAGAAGTCAAATCTGACTAGTCATCTGTTATCTCTTATATCTTGTTCTTGGGTCATACTTTTATACCTTTTTTGATTCTTGTAAGCATAATGAACATTCTGATTTTGTATTTCTACATCCAGTAACCGACATAATCCACAGTCTCTTGTCTACTCTTTCTGGTGCCTCTTGCTTGAGGCAATTTGTTCTTTTATGTGTTTTGAGAGACATTTCTGAGGCTTTTTAAGGTGCATTCCTTGGGAGGGGATTTCTGCTGGCCTCTGTCAGGCCTCTGAGGGCACTCTCAGCCCACAGTCACTTTAAGTGACATTGTTTAGCTTGGGTTATCAGGGCCATATGGGTAGTGTGAATTCTAACCTCGAACTCGTGTAAGAGCCAGCTTACGGTTAGCAATTCTTAGTGAAGACCTTCCTCCCCCACAGCAAGAGTCTTTACTGGCACTGCCCCTCCGTGTGTGTGTGTGTGTGTGTGTGTGTGTGTGGTTGTGTGCACACACATGCGTGCGGTGGGCATGCAGTAGTAGGTAGTAGTAGTTGAACACTTCACTGAGGATTTTGCCTTTCCATGCAGGGGTCATACTCTCTCCTTTGTGTTCTGTCTCCTATGCATGGCGAGCATTAAAGCCAACAGCTCTCCTCCACCAGCGATTGGCGGACATCCTCTGCCTGCCGTCAGGTTCATGCTTTATTACCTCTCTGAATTTGTACTTCCCCGTCACTGTTGGCCTCCGAAGATTTCCTCCATGTCTTATTAATTCAGCTATGTATTACAATTTTTAAAAAAATATCCCAGCCAACATTTGGGTTTTTTTTCTACCAGGAGGGTTCCGTGAGAGCCCTGGTCTACCGTATTTGTAAAAAAAAAACAAAACCCCAAAAACCTTCTTATGCCTTTGGACATGTTTTTTCTAGAGCACAAATCTACAGGCATTTTCTGTAAAGGACCAGAAAGTAAATGTTTTATATTCCGTGGCCCATGAAGTCTCTATTACAACCCTCAACTCTCTGCCACCGTGGCACAAAAGCAGTCACAGACAATACGTGGCTGGACTCCAATAAAACTTTGTGATTTTAGATTAAAAAGAAAACAAACAGTGCGCCCATTTGGCCCATGCGCTATATTTGGCCATCCCCGGGTCTAGCGTATATGCTTCGAAGGGGAAAACCTGGAGGCCTTCTTTGGTTTTTTTGCTACCCTGTATTTGAAACCTGTTCACATCTAAGCTTTTCATTTCCTGGTGCACTACTTCCTGTTCTCTCTCTTTCTGCTTTTCTTTTCAAAATGTGTCGTGCGTTTGGATCTATACAACCTGGCTGAAGAACAGAGACTGGGGAGCAGGCATTCTGTGGAGAAGGGGATGGGCTGGAGGATGGAGCCTTGGAGGAAGACACTGCACACGGCTTGGGACTAGGTCCTGTCCTGTCTGCCAACTGCCAGACTTCCTCTCCCGGATCCATGATGGGGGTTAAACCATAGCCGGGCTCCCACCGAGCTCTGGATGGAACACTTTCTTTCGGGTAAGATATCCTTTTAGTCCTAAGGTACTCTGATGAGATTTCATGCCAAACCTGGCAGTTACAAAAACCTGGCAACAACGAACTTTATTTCTTTGCCTTGTGAGCTTTAACGAGTCTATTACTTTCCCTGGAATCAGAAGGGATAAACTCCCACCTCATATCTACCTTTAATTAGCTGTGTGACCTTAGGCAAGTCACTTAACCTCCCTGAGCCTCAATTTCCTCATTTACAAGCCGGTGGTAGCACCTGCTTCGTCCCCCAGGAGGGGTCGGCAATGATGAAGTGATGCCGTGGGAACTCTGTAGAACATCAATTAAACGTATCACAGCACCACTGTTTCATTTTATCCTACAATCAACCCATCAGGCAGGTCAGGCAAGCATGACATTGGCACACATCAACACCAGGCTGTCTCCACATTCAAAATCTTTTTCAGCTTAGTTTCCAAGAAGATAAATACCTGCAGTACATTCTTTTTAATTTTTGTTATCTCTGCCGTCAGCTGTGTGATGGTAGAATTTACCCGTCCTTGGGTGACTTGAACTCGTTGCAATTTATTCAGCGTTTTGTCAAGATTTAATAGAACATTTGCTGCTTTTCTAAGGTAGGATATTAACGTGTCAGATTAGATAAATACACAATTATTCATTTGTTTCACCTTGGGAGTCCATTCGACTCCACGAAAAGCTTGGCTGAATTATTTATAAAGTAAATTTAAATTGCTCTTAAGCAAGGCCAAGTGCGGTAATCTTTATTTTGAGAAATAGGTAGGTTGAAATGCCAATAACAACGCATATATATGCATATCAAGTAGATACAGATTTCGCCAGGTATGCAAATCAAAGATACAGGTCTTGTTTATTCTTAATTTGTCCTAACCAGAGAGGCTTGAGGACCGTCACTGGCAAGCTTTGAACAAAATAACAATCCTCGGCCGATTCCAGTTCCCTAATTTCTCCCACTTCAGCCACACTCTAAATCCTCACCGGAGCAGGGGTGGCAGAGTGAAGGGGCCCCACAGACAGCAAAGAGAACTAAAAGTCCTCCGTTTCCAGGCTGTGTTTATTCAGATTTATTTAAGCTCCACTGACATTCTAGCTGCCAGGGGCCCCGTCAGAGGTTAAAATCACAAGCATTCCAACTGATTGTCTATTTTACAGAAATAAGCTCACCTCAAGTCAACACTCACCAGATACTTGGATCTGTGGGCTCAAAACCACCTTTGGAAGAATATACCAAGTGAGTGAACTATCAGATAGACCTTTGCAGAAGCATCATTTGAAATGCGTGTGGAAGAGCAAAACTAGCTAAACTGCAAAACATCCCCTGCCCCACGCAACCCTACTTCTCCTCCCAGTGGAGTCTCTCTCTCACTTTTTAAAAAGGCTATTTTTTTAAAGAGCTGTTTTAGATTCATAGCAAAAAAGAGCAGAAGGTGCGGAGAATTCCCTATACCCGCCGTGTCCACACACGCAGAGCTTCCCCAGTTATCAACCTCCCCGCCAGACTGGGACATTCGTTAGCCAACCTCCCCGCCAGAGGATGAGTCTACATCAACACATCAGAGACACCAAAGTCCAGAGTGTACATTAGGGTTCACTCTTGGTGGTGTTCACTTGGTGACTTGGGACAAATGTATAATGACATGTATTCATCATTCTAGAATCACACGGAGTATTTTTACTGCCCTAAAAGTTCTCTCTGCTCCACCTATTCATCCCTCCCCTCAACCCCCAGCAACTACTGATCTTTTTTACTGTCTCCACGGTTTGCCTTTTCCAGAATATCCCATGGTTGAACCATATAATAAGTAGGCTTCCCTTTCTTTACTTCTTTCCCTACAGTTACAGAAGGGGTTCAGGAGGCTTCCCTTCTCATAACACCCCCTCATATCTTTGTATTTATTCTTTTTCCTTTAAATTTTCAATGTAACTGCTTTTAGAGTAAATTGGGAAAATACCTAAAAATAGAAGAAGAGAAGGAAGAGGAGAAGGAGGAGGAGGGAGAGGAGGAGGCAGCAACACACACAAAAAGAGAAAAAAACATATCAGGAAGGGAAAAATTTACCACTAATCTTTTTTTTTTTTTTTAAAGATTTTATCCATTTATCCGAGACAGAGAGAATGAGAGAGACAGAGAGCACATGAGAGGGGGGAGGGTCAGAGGGAGAAGCAGACCCCCCGCGGAGCAGGGAGCCCGATGCGGGACTCGATCCAGGGACTCCAGGATCATGACCTGAGCCGAAGGCAGTCGCCTAACCAACTGAGCCACCCAGGCGCCCCTACCACTAATCTTTTTAAGATACCAGCGTATTCTAGCATCTTTGTCCTACAAAATATTTTCTTTCCGTGATGGAGATCCTCTTCTATATATAATCTGTTACCTTTTTTTTTTTTTTAAAGCATTAACATTATGCTCGAAGAATCCCTGCATGTTATAAAGAATCCTTCCTCAGCATCATTTCTGACAGCTGTGTGATCTTACTGCAGTTACTTCGTCTTCCTGGTTGTAAGTATTAAAACCGGAAGGGGTTGGGCCTACAGGGGAGTCTGGTGCACTTCATTTATACAAGTGGCTGGGGAGACGGCAAAGAAAGCTCGGGTCTCAACTGCTGGGCGTCCTGACGTGATGGTATTGCCACCATCCACCCGAGCCCACAACTCTGACCCGCAGCACACCATGCTCCTAAAAACACCAACATGCCCCTTCCCATTTGCTTGGCTAAGTCAACAAGGGCAAAAGGAAGCACGAGTTAATGAACTCTGTGTACCGTATCTGTAGTTTTACTCCCGTGTTATTCCTAGGGCACTAGTGTTCATTTCTTTTACTCCTCACCATCATATCTTTTTAGTGTAGTCTTTTTTTTTTTTTTAAAGAGCTTATTCATTTATTTGAGAGAGAGAGAGAGACCGAGAGAGCACAAAAGGGGTGAGGGTCAGAAGGAGAAGCAGACTTCCTGCTGAACAGGGAGCCTGATGTGGGACTCGATCCCGGGACCCTGGGATCATGACCTGAGCCGAAGGCAGACACTTAACTGACTGAGGCACCCAGGCTCCCCATTAGTGTAGTCTTTCTTAAAAAAATTTAGATCTTCAAAGTACTGTCTATTATGGTACATTTAGGAAGTAGCAGACATAGGTCAGCAAGAAAGGGAAAAGACACCGATATTCCCACCACCTGTTAAGATATTAGCATACAGCTAGTATATGGCATTAATTGGTATAAAGAGTAACAGGTCACTGGGAAGGCATTCCAAGTCTATAGCAAATGGGAAACAAGCATTTCTGCCCCCTGCCTCCCAATCCCCCAGCTTCCTGAGGCTCCTGCAAATAGCTTAGCCCTCACCCTGGGCACTGAGCTACTGGAGGGTAATTTCATTCGAACATTAAATAGCTCCTCACCCAGATATTTTTCAGATGGCCTTTTAGGAATTGGCCTGGGCGAGCAAGATGAGAATATTAATACTGTACTTACTCAGCATCTTTTGCCTTCACCAAAACCTTTTGGGCTTCCTCTGCTGCTTTACGTAGCCTGTCCTCACCTGTTCCATAGTCCTCATAGAGCTGCATCAGCTTCCGTATTTTGTCAAGTTCATGGGTTAAATTTGGTGATGTCATTGGTAGGTGGATGTCAAGTACATGATTTGCAACCTTCTCTATGTCCTCTGGAGGCACGTTTTCCTCTTAAATAAGAAGGTGGTTTTAGGTCATTGTGTCTCCTTAGTAAACACTGTATCTTGTAAATACAACCACAATGAACTCTAAGTCATAAGTACGTGCAACTGATTATGTGTCCCTAGGACACCAGGATTAGACTGTCTACGTCCGTAGATTCTTCTTCATCCCTTCTCTCTGAAAGAAACACTGTTCGTGTAGTGTTGAATACAGGCTACACAAATGCTTGCTGGAAAACTGAAAAACTACAGACTTGGAATATTGTATATATTCTGCGAAACGTCCTCCTAAGAACCAGTTAAGTCAAAAAGCAATTAAAATGGTTAGATGCCTGTTACGAAGATTTGAATACAGTGAATGAGACACTGGGGAAGCGCCAGGTTTGGACTCAACAAAACTTGATTCTAATCCTCCGTGACATCAAAAGGCTCACAGTGGTTGCTCATCTGTGTAACGGGGCAACTCTACCTGATGCTACCACTCAAAGTCCTATTTTGAGAAGGGAACTTGACAACAGAGTGTAAAGTACCGGATGAATAACGTGTTATCAGGAAACTGTTAAATACACCCATGCCCTGCTTTTCAGGAAAATAAAATCGGCCTTCCTGAGAACTGAAGCGGAAGATGGACTGTTCGGGTCCGGGGTGCTAACACTCTGTGATCTCTGGCTCCTTACTGAGGCATAATGCTAAAGCCCGTGTGGGCAGTTGAAGTGCTGACCATCCAGTGGGGGAGTACAAGCCATTCCATATGAATACTGATCACATGAGAATAGAAATGATAAATAGAAGACGAAATGATATGGGATCCAGAGGGAGGAGAAAATATTTCAGGAAGAACCTCAAAAAGGCACATAAACTGAGCCTGGAGGACAGCAGAGGTTATACCTGTGGAAATGTGGGGTGAAGGCAGGGGTAAAGGCATTCTAAACTGAGCGACCCACAGATGCCAAAGCTTGGGTGCAGCATGAAGCAGTCCTCGGATCAGTGTTGGTGAGAGAGTCGAGTCAAAATGCAGGGGCGGGGGGTGCAAGTCCCGAAAGGCTGGGAGCAGAGCACAGGAGCCTCTAAATGTGAGGCCAAGGACCTTGGCTTCTTCTTCAGGAGGCGGTGGGCACCACAGACACCTTTTAGCATTTGACGGACATGACATGAGTATATATCCTTTGGTGATCATTTTCGCTCTAGCTGTCTTGTTTAAAATAAAAGGAGTATTTTACTTCCTGTCATGTTTTTGAAAAAATAAGTAACAAGATTTTTTGTGAGTAAATCAAAATCATACTTGAAACAGAATGTACTGTTCTTGGAAGTTGACTTTTGAAAGAAATGGTATTTCATTTTATAAAAAGGGTTCTAATAAAAAGTGAATTTAATTTAGCCATATATTTGTCATTGAACATTTATTGGCATTTGTTATGAGATCATAAATTCAAAATTTTTCTGTGGGACTTTCAGGAGAAGTGACACATACTTTGTTAATGGGGAATTCAGACCCCAAGGAAAATATTAATATGGTGAAGAAGAGTGGAGTAGTGTAGCCACCATACAATTTAATAAGACTTTTATTTGGGCTTTATGGAAAGGATAGAGGAAAAGAAATTGGTGAGTGAAGGGTACTGCTTCCTGGTGACCAAGGATCTTGGGGCCCAGATCAGAGATGTTTCTTTTATAGAATAGGATTTTTCCCTTTGCCTAATCTAATTTTTGTTGTAATAATGGACACAGTTTTTGTTGTTTTTTTTTTAACTCCTTGGGGTAATTAAACTTTATTATTAGAGATGTATTCAGCAGCAATGAGAAATGAGACCGGTAAGGGAATAGGCTCTATAACCCAGTGAATGAGGTGGAAAGCAGTAGAACTTGCCTTCTGAGCCATCGCTGGGGCCCAGAAGTGTATCACGCCATTTCGCACAACTGGTCTGGCAGTTTGGTTTTGGTTTGGTTTTGGTGCCTGAATTGACCTGTATCTGCAGAAATAGCTAAGGTGTTCCTTAATCCAACCAGTTCCTGGATCTGTGTCTAATCAATGCTAACTCACTGAAAATTGGCTTTTGAACAAACAAAACATCCAGTAGACAGATCCCACCTCATTCATTTTTACTGATTATTTTGGTCATTTTTATTGGTTATTTGTACTGCCTCATTTTGTTCTTATTTTGAAAATCAAGACTAGAACTGTTCATACAGTATCTAGAGATATGGAGGTGGAAAAAACAATTGGCCATAGGGGTCTCTTACAAATATTAAACAGGTTCACAAAGTGGTTGCAAAGATGGTAACAGACATCCCAATTGTCAGCTGATTCATGTGAGGAGTATTAAGTTACTGAATCTGGAAGACGGTGATGGAGAAGAAAGCCTCTTAAGCTTAATTCCATATAATGTACCCAAGCTGCGTTATTTGCACAGAGTGAGTTTTCAGGTCAATTTCCAGCTGTACTATTTGATTTTTATCTTCAACTAATAATTCTCTGTAGTTTAAAATAAACTTCTAAAAAAATAAAATCAAAGTGAACTTCTCCCATAATAAGGTACAATGAGGGATAATAACATCATAATTATAATAATAAATGGATCAAATTGTACCTTTTGGCCAATCACAGAGAACCAATATGAAACTTGGAAAATAGTCCATAATAGTTAATAACCGATATTTTAGATACCACCTCACTATAGTATTTGGTATACTAACCAAATCTGGCATGCCTTGATCTCACACAGTCTGTCAGCAGAGAAAATCATGGAATCATAACATTAGGAAATCTGATAGAATCATCATGTTAGACTTTTTTCTTAAAAAAACCACATAACTGGGTGCCTGGGTGGCTCAGTTGGTTAAGCGACTGCCTTCGGCTCAGGTCATGATCCTGGAGTCCCGGGATCGAGTCCCGCATCGGGCTCCCTGCTCAGCGGGGAGTCGGCTTCTTCCTCTGACCCTCCCCCCCTCTCATGTGCTCTCTCTCTCTCTCTCAAATAAGTAAATAAAATCTTAAAAAAAAAAAAAACAAAAAAAACCCACATAACTTTAAGCACTAAGTTCATTTGTTTGAAATTTTAACTAAATTCTAGGACTTTTTACTAAATTTATCTTATACAGATAGCCATATATACATATATATATATTTTTCGTACAGAGTTAATATTTGGGGATTATTTTCATTAAGAAATTTTAAATCAAGGGGTACATCATGTTTCTGATTTAGGCATTTCATTTCCACTTACATAATTTGAAATTGGTTATGCTGTTTGAGTATACTTTAAAAAAAAAGCAAAGAAAAAGAAACAAAACTAGTTCCAATATATTTTTCTAATTACCTGACAAAAACATTTTCAGCTTTTTGATTAAAAGACTCATCTTCTCTTCTTCAGATTCACTTTGATTTTTCATATTCCTCAGTTTCTCACTTAGCTGTAAGGCATTGTTTTTGGAGACTTCTGCCAGTTTACTTACATTTTTGAGCTGGAATAAGAAAAAAATAACAATGAGGAAAAAACACAATGAGGCACATTGTGTGATGTTTAATTACTTAGCTGGACCAAATGAAACTCACTAAAAACAAAAAAAGGCCTATAGAGAATTAAAAGATCATTTTAAGGGATTCATTTACGAGGTGATATTATTTGTTTTCATTATCATTTTTGCTTAATGTGAATTTATCTTGTGGTGCCTGGCTGGCTTAGTCAGTGCAGCAGGTGACTCTTGATCTCAGGGTTGTGAGTTTGAGCCCCATGTTGGGTGTAGAGATTACTTAAAAAATAAAATCTTTAAAAAAATAATGTGACTTTATCTCTTAAAACCATTATTAGTGATCAAAAGTATTATTTGAAAACAGTTTTGACCTAGTGCTAATGACTTTTCCTTATACAAATGTAAAACACAAATTCTGTTTTAATGAGACTTTAGCATTCTTATCACATCAGCAAATTACTTGGGACTACATAGAGTGGTCATTATGTTTAATAAGTTAAGAGCATTTTCTTTTATGTAAGTTAAAATAATTACTCTTCTTGACATTCCTCAAATTCAAATAATGTACTTTTTCTGAAAGCTAAAAAGAAAGCATTCCTCCTTTTAATAAACGAGTTTGAACTCGGAGCAAGCTACAAAGACAAATTCCAAACATCTTGTACACTTGGTGGAGGAACGATAGGTCTAAAACTTGCCCTCTAGAAGTGCAAATTCTTAATTATGTGACTTGAGAAAAATTCATGGGCTTTTCTTGAGATTCTAACAAATTAGAGAAAGAGAAAGAAAAAAAAAAAAAAACCAGAAAGCAATAGGGTAATATCACCAAGTTGAGCTGTATGGAATAAATTAATTGTGACAGAAGTAGGGCTAATTAGGATCAAACACAATTAGGAAAAAAAAAATCTCCCCTTATTTCCCCACAAAAGGAGCCAGCTTAATGTGAGCCATACAGATTTTGTGGAAAAGGATTTAATTGCACTCATTGGCAAATGATGAAACGAAAAAGAAATATTTACATGATTAAAAATATGTATCTTCATTTTTTGGAGAGTTGTCCCTTAATTTTCTAGAACTTTGAAAACCTTAAAATGGTGAGCAGTTGCTGAGAGAGATCTTCAAAGTTCCCATGACAAAAAAATATAACTAGGTGAGGTGATGGATGTTAACCAAACTTCTTGTGCTAATCATTTTGCAATACATACATCTACCAAATTATGTATGCCTGAAACTAATAAAATGTTCTATGTTAATTATATCTCTCCCAATTAAAAAAAGAATAAAATGGTTAGCAGTAAGTAAGAACACGTGGAAGTAAAATGAGAATTCCAGAAATAAATACTCTGGACAGGAAAACACAAAATTATAGGGATGAAATCTGTGTTGATTAGTCAATGCTGTGTTCAGAGAGAAAGAGATTGCTAAATTACTTCACTCTTAAAACATCTCTCTGCAATCCATCCTCTGTCACCACTGGCTCCTGAGAATTCTCTCACAATCTTTTCTGGCACTCTTCCCCCATCTAATCAAGAGGGAAATAGCACACCATTTTATCAACATGAAAAACCCCACCCCCACCCTTTCCAGTTGTTCATTTACGTGCTGATGAAGCCAAATTCTGCTAGAACATATGTCAGGGACTATCTTTTAAAAGTAAAAGCTTAACACAGGGCTTCTTTAAATGGTGTGAGGTTTCTGGTTTTTTTGAGAAGGGGCAGTAAGGTGTAATTGTTTGAAATTATGTTGAACAGGGCGCCTGGGTGGCTCAGTTGGTTAAGCGACTGCCTTCGGCTCAGGTCATGATCCTGGAGTCCCTGGATCGAGTCCCGCATCGGGCT